GAGCTGGCTCGTTTCCTGTCCGTACGAACTCGTGATGTTTTTAAACGTCATGGACTGCTCATGGATCAATTTCCACCCCGGCCAATAGGTTGGGATTTCGATAATTGTACAAACGAAAACGATCATCATGATGCGATGATGAGGGAAATTCGAGTGGCACCAATGAAGGAGGAGGAACAGAGGGAACAAGAGGAGGACAAGACAGAGACCAAGACAGCAGTCGAGAAGGGAATCATGGCGTGGAAGAGAGCAAGAGCTTCGAGCCAGAGGACCTCCCGCACAACAAAAGACGGAGAGACAGACAAGAAGAAGAGCTGCCAACAAGTTGCTGCCAAAATGACGATGAGAATAGTGATGGTAGTAGTGGTGCAAGCAAGAAGAATGATAGAGAGAGCACTCCTAAACGAAGTCGAGTGCAGCGTGACAGTCTTAGTAGACACGTGCAGTTTTCTTCTGTTATTACTACGGTATCTGTCTTTAATCCTGAGAATAGCGTAGCTCCCCCTACGACGCTCGGTCCCGGGGTCCCAGATAGTGGACTATAGAAACATTTTGTGTTTCCCGCCGCACTGAGACTGACGTCTTTTCATTGGTCAGCCGGTTAGCGCGGTCGATGCTAATAATATAAAAGCACACACACACACATGGACATCAATCAATTTGAGAACAGTAATTCATTCAGGGGTCGGGCTGACAGGCGGTGTTATTCAACGTGCGCAGAACCCAGGCGGGGAAACAAAAGGACCCATCTCAAACAGTTTTTTTGCGAAAAAAAACTCCGCTATCGCTCCGTTTTTTATTTTCGCACGCGCGCTTCGCGCGCGGAAAAAACTCCTATGAAATTGAGAGCGAGAGCCAAAAAAAATAACATTCGGGTCCAGACGCCTCTTCTTGCCATTTCTTGGGAAGTAGGGGGCGGGCTCTTCCAAGAAGCGGCGCAAATTGAAGGTCTCATCAGCAGCGTCACGAGCATATGCGTATCATCGTCATCGGACGTTGCAGCTAGGAGCTAGACAAGTTGCTAGATTTCCCCAGATTGGCTATTCCTGCCTCAAACTGTTGCAGGGCGGTTTGGCCTCGGGCGGTGAGCTCTGCTGAAGCTTCTGCTAGACGCTGTAACTCCGCATCGAGAGACTCCCACAGGATGACCAGGGTATCTGCTTGTAGCTACGGGCTGGCCCTTCAATTCAAGCTACACAGCAAGCTCCACCGCTCAGCAGTAGTCCAGCTGCAGCGCATCGCGCAATCTCGCTCTCAATCAGATGCTTCTCTCTCAATTTCACCAATATGCTGTTACATGCATAGACTAGACTATGCAGAAAAATCTGGAATCGGGCTTATATTCTGGGGCGGAGGACGTACGAATTTTTTCGAGAAAAACAAAATGACGCGATAACTGTTGATCAAGGGGAGATTCGAACTCACGCTCATTCGAACTAGTGCCTTACACGGGCGCCTTAGACCGCTCGGCCACTTGACCCCCCACACGACATCATGTTACATTTGTGCGATTTTGCCATCAGAAGTCGCTTATGTCTGAGGGAAGCAGATGATACCGTCTCTTAGAAGAAAGAGCTATCAAGAGCGTCATCTACCATGTGCGTATGCATTCATATGATACACACGACTGCACAGCGGAGACGACGTATTGAAGTCGCTTGCAGCGAAGCATCAGCTGGAAACGTTTTGAGAGAGAGAGCTTGTCCTCCTCCCATAGCAGGGGAACTTCCGTACAGCGGTTCATACATAACATCTCCAGCGACAGTTAGACAAACAGACCATGTCGAATCAGACTATGTAGACTAGTCTTCCTGTGAGACATTCCTTCTTAGAATAACATCGTCGCCACACAGCGACATCCATGTAGACACTACCACTACAGTACAAATATTTCGTACCTTTGGACGTACCCTTGGTTGGGATGATTTCGAGCGGGTGGGTAATGCTTGTACATTTCCAACATACAGCGGTGACATCAATCAACAGCACTCGTCATTCAGCACCGCCGTTTACTTGCCTACATTGTCCCCTCGTATCTCCATTGTGTTTATTGCTTGGACGTTTTCTGATACATTCGCAGCTGTGAAAGAAAAGGAAAGCGCTCTTGAGCACATGGCAGAAAGATGGATGAAACGGATCGGGGAAAGGTGCACCCCGAGTTAGTCTGCTGCACGAAGACCTGTTCGTACATCGGCGTTTGTGTTGGAAAACCCAACACAAGATCATCCCGCGGCGGTCCAGCAACAACAGCGATCCTTAAACCTTGAAGAGAGGAAAGCAAAGGAAGTCATTAGTTTGCCAACAACGTATCGTGGCCTCAATGACAAATCTTCCTGGTTTACGCAATCGGCAAGGCGCAATCAGCGAGGTTCAGAATGAAACAACGACGCTTTGCCTTGCATCGTGCTGTAAATGTAAATAAAGCACAGCAGTGACGGCCTGCTCGATTTGATCGAACGTAGACTGTAGAGAGCTGGCAAACAAAACAAAGAGCTCCGAGATCGACTCTGCTGCCACTCCACACTACCCGCCCATCATCAACGCCGCCGTCGCTGCCTTCTCTCAACGACCAAAATACTGATGGTTGTCCAAGGCTCGCGCCAAGAAACGCGGCGGCATTTGCATTCTAGCATCAGCAGCACACCCCGTATTTTCGCCTCAACCCCTTGGCAAAACAATTCCAGGAGCCCGAGTCGCGACCTCTACTGTACGTTCTAATGCTATAGCCGTCAACTCCCGTTCATGATCAATCAACGGAAACAGCTTAGCAGTCGAAAGGGAAAACCCATGCACTACAGCCCCATTCAGCTCTGAAGCGTTTGCATGCTGAAGCCGAAATCGCAATCTCCGTTCTACTCCCGAGCGGCTGAGACATCAGCAGAGTATCCGAACCACACATACGTCCACACCCCAACCCTTCGGTTCACTCGCAGCAGTGGCGGGTTGATGCTTCGTAAGACCCGAGGTGGTGTCATATTTGTTCACTCCGTATCTCGAGCTGGTTATTCCTCTCTCCCTCCAACACAGCCCCAGGGCAAAGCTCCACAGCAGTTTGTAATCCTCAACACACGACTCCCTACAGCTACTTGTCGCTTTCTTTCAGCCGAAAGACCACCTTCGCTGAACAATCTGACCGTCGGAACACAATATTTGTCTTGGTGTGGTCCACTTCGTTTGGAAGGGCGGCCTGTTTTGACGTTTCGACAAATAACGAACATAAAATCAAGCGGCGAGGCTCCAGGACACGATGCGGCATCGTCCAGTACAGGAAAGAGACAATGCAATACCTCTCTGAACACACGCTATCGGTTGGTGCTATGCGAGGCTATTGCGTCAGACATCCTGTAAGATGTGGCAGCTTGAAAGCGGAAGAAAGACAGTTTACCGGTCCGGGGGAAACAACAATTTGTACAGCAAACATTGGGGGGAAATTGCTTCCAATAGAGCGGCTCCAAATCGGATCGCAACGTTGTTTACAAAATAATCCAAAAAAGCACACGTCATGTCGCAAGGGACCGGAAACATGACCGAACTTAGCGTCAGCTACACAGTAGATAGCCTTGAAATGCTGCAGTTGTGTTTGCATGCACACCAAACTTACCTCGAACACCACGTCGCAGAACTTCTGGCAGTCGTAGTAGTACAGAACGACGCTACGTCTCCTCGCGCCCAAGCGTGCCTGCGCTGGTTCTGTCATGAACACGTCCTGCAGATGGGAAGGGGTGGCACGGCCGGCAGAATGAGCCATCGCATGCATCCTCGGGCCGTAGCCATGGCGCGAAGATGGCGTGCAGAGCTTCGGGGTACCATGGCACTAGCCCAGGCAACACGACGTAATTCATCAGTCCCGTGTCATACATCGAAGTTCCAGACAAACGGACAACGATTCGCATGCATGCATACACGTACAGGTTCCGCGTGTCGCGAGCTCAAGCAGTCTGAGACGGCGGAAAACGGTCATCACTGGTTGGATCAGTTGGGGGTATGAACGCACGGTTGCCGACGTTAAGGAGCAAGCAAAACAACAGCACCAGCACCAACACCATCACCAACGCCAACACCAACACCAACACCAACAACACACCTGTAGGGTCATCTCCAGAGTGTCAAAGGCTCCGTCCGACGTCCTCAAGAACTTGTACTCGAGGTTCACCTTCATCGGCCCCTCCCTGCCTCGTGTCCCTGGTGCCGGCACATTTGCGTCAGTTGCCCCGTTGTCGTCGTTGCTTTTGTCCTTCTCTGGCGGATAGTTCCCATACTTCTTCAGCGGAATCAACTCCGAGCCTCCTGTGTCGCGGCATTGGCGGCGAAAGTAGAGTGAAATGGGAAAGGGATTTTAACAAATTGGGTCCTATGGACAAACACATCCCTGCAGGAGTGCACTGGGGGGCCCTACGGTGGCGTCTGATGATGCCCACAAAAATCCTGGCGTCTCCGTTTTGGTACAATATGTAATCTGTCTCAATTCCAAAATACGGAAAGGCATGCTCGTATCAATGCCACCGTTGGAAACGAAACCAAGCTTAGAAGAAGGCTGTGGTGCATGAGGCGAGAATAGTCAACTTAGGGCCGCGACTGCATGAGCGACGTTGCTTGTCGTACCATGTAACCGACCCGAGATATCCGTTTCGAATGCAACCAATTCTCAACCCACCTTGCTCTCTCGTGTCATTGTGAGACTCTGCCTTCCGCACCGACGCGTGCAAAGGGAAATTGTCTTTCGGGTCGTTGTTGGTCAACTCCTTTCTCAGGATCTCAGTGCGCGAGTCTATTTAGAAGGGCAGGGGGGCGGGATAGGGCGGCGGCGGGTGACGGGCGGGTGACGGTTGGAGATATTATCAGACCCTAAAGCATAGGGAGGACAGGTACAAAACGCGCTTCTCTTCATCACCACATATCATGCTACTACCGTGGTGCTAAGTTGAAGCGGGTTGCGTCCCTGGTCCCATCCGACAGGGATCACACAAAACGCAAATCGCCATGAGTCGCATGAAGCGGGCTGCGTCATACTACTTGAAAGGTCGCTTGTGAGACGAAAATCGGCACTTGGTCGGAACTCGCTTGCGCAGACATGAGGTTCGAGCGACTCCGTTGCTTTGGGGTGTAAAAGGCTTCTGCTTCCAGAAGCAGAATGCTGCGCGAATCTTTCGCCGATGCCTGGCCCGAACGCACGCCACGCGACAAGATCGTTCCTCTTGTGCAGAGTTTGTGCCCTTCCTCCGGGGAGACAGGCAAAGCCGGTAATACTACAAGTAGTGATACTACAAGTAACGATACCACGAGTATTTACCATGGCTGAGCCCGAGCGACTCACACGCGGGCGCACGAGGGGGGTGTTACGAAATAGACTTGTTAACCTCAATGCTACGCTGTAACCGCAAGGCGTCAAGGAGGACGAGAAAGCAGGAACTCCGACTAAACGATCCACAATGTGCGTCCTTGCAATCAGAACCGCCATGTAGAGGAGAAACCATAGGAGAGGGCCGCCTCTTACCAAAAACCAGTTATTCCCCCGTGATGCGGTGAAGTTGTGGCACAAGTGAAGTAGGTGAGAGTGCCCTGCCCAGTTGTCTGCACCACTTCCTATGCTTCCCTTGCTGGACCCTTGTCTCTCCCTCTCTTCTTGCTTAACGGGATCCGGCCGCTCACAACCCAAGCAATGCTAGATGTTCAGCGGAGCGCGCAATGGACTACCACACAAGCAACACAAAAGCTGACGAAAGAAACGGAAAAGTGAAGTACAAATCAGGAGAGTATAGTCGGTCGGTCGCGGACGAAGCATGGTTCCCGTTAATTCCTCCCTCCCTCGCTCACCAATATCGGGATGCACTTGCACGGAGAAATTAAAGCCCGGTCGCTGTCCTCGGACCAAGATACAGTGGCTGTTCGCCTGAACGACCTAACGCGTCAACACACCACAACAGCAACAAACGAGTCAAAACATGAATGTTTTCGTGTAGCACGTAGTCATCACGGCGTGGAAATCATCAAAACCAGTGGCTATGAGGAGGTGTAGGAGCCGGCCAGGAGGCGGGTAAGCGAGAGAGCGAGAGAGTATTTCTACTCCGTAGATGTAACTGCAAACAAGGCAATCGAATCATCAACAGGCAACAAACCAAGCACCATCAGTCAACCAACCGATTTTGATCGAACATTTTGAGTTTAAGAACTCCGGTCGTGCCTGGCGACACATGTGTTTGTACACAATCTTAACCTCATTATACATACCTGCTGCCCCGGGACTGTGCTCTCGAACGGTACCGGTGATTGACTGATGCGTACCAGCTCGTATGTCCCGACGACGTACTGCAACATTGATCTGGCCGTGGTCGCATCTTGAGTGTCGAACGCCGGGAAAAAATACGTTACGGCAGGGGGGGGGGGGGTACTCATAGTCGTGCATGCCGTAGTCGTTAGACCATTGACCTCGCATCCCTACAAAGCCGGGACG